TGTTTTCTTCGCCACATAATTTTCCATCTAGGGTGGAGCAACGTGGAGTGCAATCTAACTAATTACAACATGCAAAAAACGTATCAACCGACCAGCAATTCATTTTATCCTCCACAACAATATAGACTCAATTCTCACACAAGCCATGTTGAAAAAATACACGAACGTTTGCCAATTAACTAAGTGATTCCCCAAAGTGAATGAATGAGACATATTCAAACAGTAGATGGGACAAGGAAATTTGACCATCAAAACTTTTGTTGAAGAATGAGAACGAAAAAACGAGAGTATGTCATTTCACATAGCATATTAAATATATATATATGGCATAGTATTTTAATATATTTATATAAATGGGCTACTTGGTAAAAATGCTTTTTTCGGCTTTATATGATCATCTGCGACGATTTTGGAGAGACATCCAGTGAGTAGTCTACTCTCAATGGCTGAAGTATGTTTTTGAGTCTTCTATCCACCACATGAAGTGCCCAGCCGCGGCAGTGTTGTTTGTTCAATGAAGCCTGTCACACTGAAATATTGATCGAGGAAGAAAATACTGACCTATGTGTCACCAATCCAAATTAACGGAGCATTTTTGTACTTTAAAAGCTCTTGGTACATTTGATCAAGTCCATTTGGGTAACTCTTGGTCATTGGACCATGAAAACTTATTTTCTAACGAGCACTTTCAGTCTCAGGAAGTCATGCAGTGGGCGGTTTCAAGATGACTTGGATAGAAGTTTCTAGTCAGGGGAGATTCACATGCATATTATCTTCCCTCTGTGGAAGAGACAATCGGTACAGAGAGTTTGAGGAGATAGACTCATGATTTTGTGCTATATTTAAGGGAGTATTAACCCACTGAATTTTCCACCAAGTTTTTTCGTTAGCATTGGTTAAGAGGCCATAAAAACAGTCATATTTAGCACTAAATAAAAAAATCTAAAATGTGGTTTAAACAGATAAAATTTACTCAGCTGTGGGCGGTATAAACCCAACATCGAAAAACGCGCAGAAATTTCTTCAAAGTAAAATTGGAGTGAATCTAAGGGAGAAAAAATGCGGTAGAATGGGGAACAAATTCCGTGCAAAACAATGGGGATGACGATAGTTTGTTTACGTGAACTCCTCAAGGTGGTCCATGTGTATCGCTAATCAGAACATCATTGATTGCAATTATGCAAGGATTTTGCTTCCAAACAATGATCGAACGCTCATTTGTTGTAAAATCAGAGGTTTCAATCAAGAAATGGGTGGTGTTGGTCATATGTTCAGATGGGAGTATTTTTATTTATTTTTATCTATAAATTACAACCAAACGCTTATGTTAGCAGCCGTAGTTCGGATAAATACGGTGGGCGGCAGTTCTGGAGTTCTGGCAGAGCAACAACCGTTGATTTCTTCGAATAATAGGACCTCTGTGGATGAGACATTTGAGTCCACAAATGAGATCGTTCCGATCTAAAAGGTGAGAATTGTTTACAAACCTCTGTTGAGGTTCCTCTTGGTCGAAGCGCCTACACTGGAGTAACTGAGTAAAATAAAGAAGTATGGAACAGATTGTTTGATCAGAAGACAGATGCTATCCCAATTCTTCCAAGTTCGGATCCGGTTCTCGCCTAATGACCAAGGGGTTGAGGGTTTGAACCTCTCATGAGATTTCCGAGAAGTGCACTAGTAATGACTCACAACAGACACGAAATGATTGTACATTGCCTTTTAACCTTTCAGCTCAGAGTGACTTCACTTCCAGGATAGAATTTCCACCTTAGGTCCAATCATACCGCACTACCATCAAACCATTTATAGTCTGAACAGCCTTGTATCACAGAAAAGAACTCGACATGTATTAAGTCACGGACTTGAGATATTAGACGATGTCCATCCAAACGTTTTCCAGCTCATTCGACTAAACGGTGAACGTATAATTTTTGTTCTGGAATTTTCCCACAATACTAACAGTTTCAAAGCTGATTCTAAAGTTCCTCGTTTTCTCTGATGACAAATGGTCCAGTCCGGCTCGAAACGAGATGCTACACCTTTCTAACTAGATTAAGGAAAAGCTTTAAACTAAGACTCTGTTAGATTTTCGGAAAGAGCCTTTACAAACTTGAATCCTGGAAATCAGGAATGCGTAGCAAACCTATATTCGGTGGCCCCCCTTCTTGGGCGCACAATATTGAGTACTCTAACAGTTTATAGCTGATTCTAAAGTTCCTCGTTTTCTCTGATGACAAATGGTCCAGTCCGGCTCGAAACGAGATGCTACACCTTTCTAACTAGACTAAGGAAAAGCTTTGACCTGAGACTTTTAGTTTCTCCGAAAGAGACTTTACGAACTTGAATCGTTTAACTGGAAATCAGGATTGCGTAGCAAACCTGTATTCGGTGGCCCCTCTTCTTGGGCGCACAATATTGAGTACTTTGTGGTATTACTTGGATGTCTTCTCATTTCGGGCGGCATCCGTGCAAGTTTTTTCTTGCAAAAGCCCAGTTTTTTATTCAGCTGGCTACTTGTTGTTAACGACATCAGCATCTGGATTTGACTCATGGATTTTCGAAAAATAGACGCTACTTTAGGCCATGATTACTCAATCCTGAATAGTCTAGAATCTGAGTACCCCATATGAACTCCTGTGTGATTAGTGAGTTTTGAAGGCATTTCTTATATTAGCTCGGATGATGAATATGCTGGAAATTTCGGATGCGTTGACGAAGACCATCCCTATGATCTTCTCAATTATGGTGAAGGGTACAAAAACGTACCACCATGCTATCACGATCTAAACTTCAAGACATCTCTGCTTGCATTGATCCGACACGGATCTATCAGACGTACTAATTGCTTACCTGCCCCAAAGCTTTTCAAATTTTATAGAAATTCATTAGATAGACTTATCTATTGGACCCGATCAAAGCCAAGAAATTCTGGGTTACCGAAGGATTGAGAGTGAATTTATCAATATTGTGTTGCGTCTGGGAAGTATACTGCGACATTTTGAATACCATACAAAATGAAGCTTGAGTTGGCTTTTGTGCTGCACATTCATTAGTAGAATAACACAAGCCGGATATTCTGTTAGACGGAATTCCGCGGCATAACCGCTTTGCTGCTCGCAATTAGGTGGTGCTCTGGCCGAAAAGCCTAACTCGCGAGAAACTGGGCAGAAGATCGGGCCGCCTGTGCTTCCAGCATCAGAGCGAGCTCTGATTGGTCGAATGTGTGGGTTCATAAGCCAATCATCATTCAGAACCTCTCGGATGCCGACTGCTGGTGTCGTTCCCAGATGAATTCAAGATTTCCGGAACTTTATCGCTTCGCATACTTCAAGTACGACCTGTCCTAGGGATCTGACCTGGCTTTGCACATTTAATGCAGTTTATGCCCCTTTTGTGTCGCGTTTACCGTTTGGAAGGTTCAGATCGGGAACTGAGCTAACCCATCACCGTCGTTACAGATTCACTTGACAATGCTGTAGAATACAGGTAGCTCGAGTGTGCTGGTTGGTTGTTGGTCTGTTCGCCGAGCTTGGCAGTTGGATTGCAAACAGCTCTTCACCAACCGAGGTGACATCAGTACGCACTGACAATGTCACCTCGATTGGTGACGAAACATTAGCAATCCAACTCCGATCAGGCCAACTACCAGATTCACCTAAGTTACCTGTTAGCACCAAAATATTTTTAGATAAAAATGAGTGCGTTCTCCAGTTGTTTACAATTTTGTGCTCAACTAGAACATGAGGCTGGTGAAAACCAGAGGACTACACCCATTTGATCAGACATAAAATAAGCAAAATATGTAGTCAGATTTTAGCGTTTTTGCCAACCCCATGAGTAGTATCTCAGCTAATTTTATTCAAGGAAGCATAGAACTCGTTGTTCTTGTGTAGCATCAGAAAACCGTGAAGAAGCAATCTTTGTTCATTATCTTAAAAAATGTTTTTCAGACTCAGCAATCTATATGAAGCAACATTTGACGTACGTATTCGAAAGTGGGAGGTGCTCCGGCACACTGTTTCTAGCAGACTTTCCACTGATGCCAGGTATGGCTGATCCGTCTGAGCTGACCCTTGATAGTGCCTAGCGATCTGGTTTTGGCTTGACTTCTCTGAGTTAATCGACTGAAACTATGAACACCGATCTTTTGAATAAGAAATGCTGTATTCCACGAGCTGTGGAACGTATGGCAGGTTAATCTTCAGAGCGACTTGCGACAAAGGCTCGGTTTCGTTTCCTGAGAAAGTTTTGTAGACCTTACGAATACCCTTGCTTTTTGCCAATCAACTGAGCAACTATCTGAGTGCATGCTGGCTAAGTTGCTTTAGGAGTATGGTGTTCTTTCAACATCGATGACGATGAGCAGTCAAGGGTGCTGATGGGCCAGCTCTCATCGGATGAAACATTAGTCATTTGAATTCGTATTTAAAAGGGCCTGTATTCCGATTGTGCTGGGCAGTGTGCCAATCCAGTATATCATTTAAACAGGGTGGAGATCTCCTGAAGCTAAAATAACATCATTTCTCACTATCCAAGTAAACAAAACTCACCCCAGAACTAAATTATGTCTAGATAGCTGGCACGTCCGGTACTCACACGCCTTCCTTCGAGCGGATCATTTATAAGCAAATGAACTTGCAGCCACCATAAGCTAAGTCAAGTGTGAGAGGTGAGACGTTCGTCAACATCAGGTAATTCAACGAGGATTGGGCAGTGTGCGTAAAGATGCACGGCAGGGAGAGAAAGAGGGAGACAAGACAGAAGTGTTCCCGCCAAACAAACCAAGGACAATCACCAGTGGTTCTGAAGATGTATATTTTTCTATTTTTCTATTTTGAAACCATTTTCTGCGAAAGATCATTCAGCTCTTATAACTGATGCGTCTCCAACTGGATTAAGTGTTATTCTCGAACAAAACAAACCAAATCACCAGTGGTTCTGAAGATGTATATTTTTCTATTTTTCTATTTTGAAACCATTTTCTGCGAAAGATCATTCAGCTCTGCTCTTTGATGCGTCTCCAACTGGGTTAGGTGTTATTCTCGAACAAAATGGCCGTCCTGTCATTTGTGCATCCCGTCGACTAACACAAGCCGCACAGGGCTATTCTCAAACACAGCGTGAAGCTCTTGTTGTCTACTGGGGTGTAGGTAGACTACACAAGTATCATTTTGGTGAACCATTCACGATTGTGACCGATCATGAAGCCTTGAAATTCGTATACCATCCTATGAAATCATTGGCTAAGTCATCCGCAGCCATGGTTCAACGTTGGAGCATCGCTCTCAGTTCGTATACATATAACATTATTCATCGTGGTGCTAAATCCATTCAGTACGTTGATTATCTATCCAGAGTTCCAGAAAGTTTATCACAATCTAATGTTTCTGATTGTTTGTTAGTACAACCGCTTCCGATTAAACGAGACGAGCTTGTGCGTGATACCCG